CACAAAATAATGATGTCTGTGCTAAAGAATCGGATGGGCCCTAGGTTGTAGCAGAGTTCTCCCGATAGCCAGCATGTCTGTATCTGCACCGCGGGGCTATTCCAACACAACCAGCATTCTGGGTACAGAGAGCAAAGTTGAGCTCTAGACAGGAGACAGAATAGGCAAGAACTAGAGCTCAGGTGCTAACGGAGACTTGGCTTCTTAGCAGAAAGCCAATGCCAGCAGTAGGACCGCAGGACTGCAGGACAGGAGCCAGCGCAGGCTGGTGAAGGACAGCAATGGAGTGGGCTCACTAGCACTTGGCACTGGTCTTGCAGCAGATGCCAGTGACAGGCCCTGCTCAGGAAGGGGAGGCAGCATCTCTCCATCCCCAGACACAGAGGGCAGGGTCTTCCTACTCTCTTCCAAGATTCAACCATGGCAAGTGTAATTTTCCTGCATGAAGGAACTTATAGTCAAGCAGAGATGATTAGCATAAATAAATATTATAAAACACTATGAATGTGCCCTAATAAAGAAAGAGGATGTAATGGAAACACTGAGACTCCATCAGATCATCCCAGGAGGCAGGGTGGGGACAGGAGGAGGTGATGGATGTTGAGAAGTCAGTGGAACGGAAGTGACCACAGGCAAATGTCTCTGCAGGGCTGGGAGAAGGACCACAAACAGCTCCACTGAGAAGGAGGCACCAGACTTTTGGGAAGCCTTGGTAACAAACTTGGACTTGACCTTTTAAGCAATGATTAGTGACTTGGTTAGATCTGTGTTTAAAAAGTAAATTAACTAGGTCACACAGTCATTATGACAGTGGTCCATAAAAGAGTAGAAGGCAACCAGTGTCTAAATTAGCTTCAATTTCTGTGCTCTGTAACCTTCACATAGACCAAAAAAAAATTAACTCTTTACTATGGATAACAAAGACATTATTCTAAAATATGGTTCAACTTACACTCTACAAAATAAAGGTAATACAGAAAGTCTTCTCTTTAAAGAATTGTCTTTTGATACTATGGGAGAATGGAGCACCCTAAAATCTGCCAGAAGAAATTCTACATTATAGGTTTTAAAATAGATTGCATTAGTAAGAGACATCAGAGAACCAATTATGTTTGAAAGACACTCAGAATTCGGCTCCAAATTGGGTCAGCTATTGGAAATCTGCAGATTCCAAAATGACTGTAGTCCATTCAAAAGAGCATTTGGATTTGTATTGAAAATGATTCTCCACTT